ATTAATTTATTAGAATTTAAATTAATTATACGTAAAATTAACCAACACTAAAAAAGATCAAGCCAATTAAATGCTTCTAAACCAATAGCTCAAAACATGATAACTACTGTACATCAAATCAAAATTTTTTTGCAATTGTAATGTTAAAGCAGCTAGAAATAGCAACAAATCAATCCGTTCATAGAAACCCAAACAAAAATCAGATTGGTTTCGACTCCATATTAAACATAAAAATCTAAAAATAAAGTGTTATGTAGTTTAAATTACAATTATTATATCAAATTACACAGTTTGAATTGCAATTATTATATCAAATTACACTATACTAATTATTAGATGTGAATTGGATTTTTTTATATTAAAAATTGTTATCTTATTTAATAATTTATATTTTATTGTTTAGTAAAATTTAAAATGTAAATCATAGAAATGCTTACTAAAACATATATAGAGTCAAAGGCCAAGAAATAGCAACTATCTTCTCCCGCCAGAGCAAAAGTACTAACCATATTGGAGAAAATGGAGCACACCTCTATTTACAATATGGAAACAAAATGTAATCTCCTTCTTGGAAAAAGGTAAATTGCCTAAATTCACTTTCAAAATTAGGTAGTAGAGACGATTTTACCTTAAATTAAAAAAATAATAATAAATTCATGATAAAATTTAATTTTTCATTTATTAACTATTATTCACTTATCATTTTAGTCTTGAAAATCTAGTTTTTCTCACATTCATCTATAAATTTTGAAAATCTTTTGAAATTCATTTATCTAATATATTTTTATTAGTTTTTTTAACAAAATCCCATGGCATGCTTATGTGGCATATGCTGTTTTGAAAATTTATACTTCATGCTTCTTCTTTTTTATGGTTATTTGTCCATCTTAACAATGTTTTCACTTTTTAGTGAGATTTTCTGTTTATTCTTTTTATTTTTAATTTTTAATAAATCCATATGTTTTAATTTTGATTAATAACTAAAAAAATCATCATTGTCATTATTAAGAGGATTGATTTTAAAATAATAGTTATTTTTTAAAGTTTTGAGAGAAACAAATTTTTGTTTTATTAAACTTAATGATTATATTTTAGTTTTAATTATCCATTTTATCATAAAAAATGTCTCTTTATTTTTATTTTTTTAAGGTAAAATAGGGAAGGATAAAACTGATCCCCCAAAATTTTTTTTTTGATAGGAAATAGTGATTATATTAAATAAATAAAATTAAGATTACATATGAATCCCAATATCATGGCATATATAACCAAAGTAAAAGTTTATTTTATTACACTAAATACAAACTTAAACTATATCCATAACGAATATAGACAATTAAATACATAAAATGATCTACACCTAAAAATTATATTAATAATGAATCACTATAGGAATATACATAGAGCTAGCTACTAACATAAAAATAAAATAAAATAAAGTCTTTGTGAGCATCTAAACTATTAGACATTCTCAACTGTTATACCAACTTCTAAGAAGAGTAGGTACTTTATCTATTAATAGTCCCCATCCACTAACAGCCCAACCATGTCAAGTTGCAGCGACCATATACCTTAAGATCTAGTTACAAGAGAAGCACCGAAAAAAAGAAGAGGGTAGCTTCACAAGAGAAGAGGAGACCCGAAGGGAGGTCTTTGTCGCACAGGTTTTTTTCCTGCTGTGTACAAGAGAGAGTAAGAGGAGGGAGGGAATGGCGGCAAAAAGCCTGAGTTCCCCTAGCTTTATCGCGCTAGGGTTTTTTTTTTTTTTTTTTTGAGGGAGAGCTATAGAGGTAATACAAATTCCGTGGGATTGAAATAAAATAATTTTTAAATTTTTAATTTATGATAAAATTAAAAAATATGTATTTTTTTAGAACAAAAGTAGCAGTTAATTATGTGTGTGTGATTTAGACTTAGTGAAAACGTGCTGGCCAGCCCACCAAGAGAAAGGTAATGCAAGCAGATTTAATTCTGTGAATGGAATATGACCCCACACCCAACATAAGAAGACTGGGAATGGGTGTTGTGCCCAGACCTATAGCAAAAATGTGTTAGCCATCTCCAATTGATTGGGTTGTTTTTTAACTTAGATTCCTTTAACATTTCAGTTACTTCAAAGGAAAGTTCTAATTCCTCTTTATCTTCCACAACACATTTCAGTTAATTCAAAGGGAAACATCTAATTCCTCTTTATCTTCCACAACATAGATTGGTCCTTTGGAATTGGAGCCAAGTCATTTCAAGAATGCCATAACTATTTTTGGATTCATCATCAGTAAAAGAGAAAATGTGAGCAAATAAGCAAGGTAGTATGAACAAGAATTGAGTGAACTTTTTGAAAAGGTATTTGGCAAAATAAATGTGGATAAAACATATTGGAATTTTATTATACTGCATATGAATTCAATGGATTGTACGGAGTGTAACATGTTTTATTGAATTTGAAAAAATTGGAAACATTATTCATTATGATAGTAAAGCTTCAGGAAATGTAAAAATGCTTGTTGAACCATCCTTCTTGTAGCCACGGCTTCAAGAAATATAAAAATGCATGTTGAACCATCCTTCCACAAGCTCAACTACAAGAGTACTAACACGCCTTACATATTGAAAGTAGGCAAAGGAAGGAATTCCATCATGCAAGTGTCCAAGGGTTTTCCATAAACAGGCACAATTGCCATATTGGTTTTAGTCTCATCATCAATAGAACATATGCTCATACTTCCAAAGGCTTCAACCAGATCATCTTTCTTCTTATTACCAGCTAATGTGTTATGGATGACATGTTACACGGGAGGCTGATATGGATTGTTGTATTGACCATGAGGACGAGAAATATAACCTCCACCAGATTAAGCTGAAACTACAATTAGAATTGGAAATTATGCTACTGCACATCTGGAAATATAAACGAGATATTGAATTTGATTGAAGCTAAATGATCCTAAAACTAATATGAATAAAAGATAAATTAATAAGTCAAAAAAGATGCAATACCTAACAAAAATCAAAAAGCTTGTTGTTTATTACATGAAGAAAGGTTGCTGAATTAACTACACAAATTAGATTGACTAATTGACTGTTGAAATCAACTTAATTCTATTGGGTATTGTGCTAAAAACTGAAATATATAGAGCAGCAATGACCAATTACTACAAAGAACTAAGAATTAAAGAGCATCTATCAGGTTGCATATATGGTTAACCGGCCGTGTGTTAAATAATTAGAAACTCTCTTTTATTTGTTCCACGGAAGCCTGAAACTGCCCACTTTCTGCAAATCGTGGGTGGTTGCCTGGGAAAGTTAAACGCATCACAGTAAACTTGGTCAAAACTTCTCCCGGATCTTATCACGCATCACAGTAAATTTTAATTCTTAAATTTAATATTATTGTTTATTTTTATATAAATAAAATACAATTAAATTTAAGTAAAATACATATATTTATTTTAAAGGTTTAAAAACCATGTATTTAAAATTTATCCTTAATCCCATGAATTTCAATTTCAAATTTTGCTCCCGCACACGGACGGCGATGAAGCCTCCATTTTGACTTCCGTTCATCATTGACTCTGCCGCTGCTCTCTCACCTTCTTGTCATCGGCCACTCAAACCACTCCACCATCGCGCGCATCTGCCCCTGAGTTTGGCACCAATTGATCATCAGAATCCTTTCCAGCTGTTACCAATAGATCATCAACGGCAAGACTGGGGT